TGAGGGCGGCGTTGCCCAAAAGGGCCAGCCCGGCAGTGCCAAAGGTGCCGGAGAGCCCGGGAGCGGGCAGGCGGCCCCGCAGCCAGGCCCGGCGCGAGCACACGTCACAGAGGATGGCCTCCAGCTGGAAGTGGGTGCCCAGCACAGCACAGATGTGGAAGAGCTGGTGGCTGTGTCCTGCCCAGGGTGAGAGGCCAGTGTCACCCTGGGTGCCGGGACTCCTTGCCCAGCTCCTGCTGCAAGGGGTTGCTCTGGGGGGGGCAGGGGACTGGAGCTGTGGCACTGGGGGCTGCTGCTCACCGATGTAGTCAAAGCGGCCGGGCGCCAGGCGCTCAGGCAGGTGGGATGTGAAGAGGAAGCCGGTGAGCAGTGCAAAGAGGGGGTGGGAGCAGTCCCCAGCCACAGCCTCATTCCAGGCACAGTTGCTCCAGAAGCAGAAGAGGAGCTGTGGGAAGGCGGGTGAGCAACAGACGGGGGGACACCACCTCTGGAAGCACCCTGTGGTGGTGGCACCTGACCCCTGCCCCAGGACACCCTGACTCACCCGGTAGAAGAGTGGGATGTTGTCGTAGAGGAAGGGGTACACGCATGGACCCCTGTCAGCCCCCACAGTGAGGACCCTGCAAGCACCTTGGCTTTGGGCCAGACCCACTGCCTGAGCAGGGGGACCACCCCCAGAGACACTCTGCAGGACCCCAAAGCTGAGGAGGAGGAGCCCCAGTCTCCACCCAGCTGCAGTGCTGGTGCTTTTACCCAAAACATACCGGGAGTAGCAGGAGAGACCGGTGCAGACAAAGGAGTTCAAAGCAGCCGCAGGGACAAAGTAGTGGTGCAAACCACCGCTGACCCAGTGGTCTGGCATTGCGTAGGCACCGTATGCAAATGCACAGCCTGCAAGAGAAATGCAGCATCATGGGGCCAGGGGCTCCCCGTCCCTGCCCCCATCTCTGTCTCCATCCCCGTCTCCGTCCCCATCCCTATGCCAGTCCCTCTCTGCGGTGGCTCACCCAGGCTGTAGAGGCTGAGGGCTCCATAGTCACAGAAATAGCAGATATGGCGGGCGCGGGCCGACATGGAGCTGAAGGTGTGGGCGCAGCTGGAGGCGAAGGGGTAGAGGCAGACGAGCAGCAGGTAGATGAGCAGGGGCCAGTGGTAGGGCTCCTGGCAGAAATCCAGGGAGGATGAGAGCACCAGGAAGCGCCACACGAAATACCTGCGGGCACAGCATATATCGGGGTGAGCTCCATCCCTGTCCCTATCCCCATCCCTGTCTCTGTCCCCATCCCCATCCCCATCCTTGTCCCCATCCCCATCCTTGTCCCTATCCCCATCCTTGTCCCCATCCCCAGCCTTTTGTCCCCATTCCCACCTCCAGCCCCTCCTCATCCCCATGCTTGTCCCCATCCCTGTCCCTGTCCCCACACCTGTCTCTGTCCCCATCCCTGTCTCTGTCCCCACACCTGTCTCTGTCCCCATTCCCATTTCCATCCTTTCATCATTCCCAGCCTTGTCCCTGTCCCCATATCCATCTCCATCCCCATTCCTGTCTCTATCCCATATCCCCATGCCCATCGCCATTCCTGTTCATGTCCTCGTCTCTGTCCCTGTCCCCATCCCCACCAGGTCGGTAGGAAGTGCGTCCAGATGTTGACTGTCTCGTTAGTCATCTGGAAGGAGCTGAGGATGCAGTCAAGGGCTGAGCTCTTGGGGTGCCGGTACCCTGACATGATCCCATCCTCCCAGAAGATCTGTGGGGACAGTGGGGCTGGTCAGGGGACACACCAGGGGGAGTGGGGCAGCCCCAGAGAGCTGTTCTGGCCTCATGGTGGGTGGGGAAACTGAGGCAGGATGGGCTGGGAGTGTCTCACCAGCTGGAGCAAAGGTGGGTGGGGACACCAGGTGATTTTTCCACCTTGGATGAGGGAACTAGGGGGAGAAACCTGGGGGCAGAGCCCCATCATCACCCAGCCACACGTACCCGAGGCACCTGATGGACCCTGAAGATCTGCGGCAGCTTTATCGTCAGCATGGCAGGTCTGAGGCGCTCAGGGCTAGAGGTGTTGGGGCACCAGGCCACAGCCCATGTCCTGCGGAGATGGGACAGAGCCCACTGGGTGACGGGGATGGGGCCGCAGGAGCCAGGACAGCCGCCCCCCCCAGCTTGGCTCTTGGCTCAGGTCAGCATCTTTTTCCAGGGATGCGATCAGCAAAGCCTGCTCCCCCTTTGACTCTTCCAGAGAGCCACAGCGGGTGGTGGGGGGTGTCTAAGCAGGCTCATCCCCAGGCCCAGGATGGGGGCGAGCACGATGGGGCCACGGGTGGGGGCTGGCAGCAGTTGGGGGGGTTGCAGGAAAGAGCCACACCCTGCCCT